AGGGGTTTTGAGGCTTCAACAGACTGTCAAAGGGGTTCACAACACAAAAAAGGTTAAGAACTGTTGCTTCAAGACCTATCGCTGTCATAGGGGTTTTCCAGAGTAGTTACAATCACATCCTGTAGGACAAATGCCAACAGTCACATCGTGATGTAGTGAACAGTACTGGATGTGAAGTCAGAACACCCGAGTTTAAATTTCATCACTAACACTGATTAGCTGTGTGATCAGTCAAGTCACTTAATCCCTCTTTGTCTGTAAAATGAAGCTCTAAATCTATGATCTTCATTTTACAGGGGTTAATAGTACCTAAGGGGTTAACAGTACCTAAAGTATCTACCTTCTGGGTTGGTATAAGGCTTAAATGAGATCATGTACATAAAGCGCTTTGCAAACTCTAGAATTTTATACAGTATCATTCTGATGCCTCAGAGATGACACAACTTTGATATAGATACTCCAAAAGAGAAGGATTCTTACTAGGAAGACCCACTAAGGAAACTCCAACTATGGACCCACGTGATAAACCAGTAACAAGCAGAACCCAGCCCTCAGGAAGTTGACAAGGGCTTTGAAGATTAGAAAGTTTCTATCACCACAGAGCAGTAAGATTCCATAGTCTCATTAAGAGTTATAAGCAGGGGCAGCTAGGTGGCACAGTGGACAGAGCTCCAGCTGTGGAGTCAGGAGGACCAGAGTTCAAATCCGGCCTCAGACACTTCCCAATAACTAGCTGTGTGACCACGGGCAAGTCACTTAACCCCGATTGTCTCACCAAAAAGCAAAAAACAAACAAACAAAAAGGAGTTGTAAGCATCAAATAATCAATAATAACCTAAAGGTATTTCAACCTTTCTTTTCTATGAAACTCTCAAAACCTTGAAGATGTGACTAGGTTTAAATACCACCCTATAACTCTGGGAAAAGTAATACGTAATGAAAAGGTGAAGTTTGGTAACAAGATTCTAAGGTCAGGGGATATTACTTAATTTTCCTATCTCCAGGAGGGATAGCATTTAACCTAAGCCAGATTAATAGTATTTTTTTACACATTGCTCTTCTCTGTATACTCCACAGTGCCTAACACAACAACCTGAACATAACAGACATTCAATAAACTTGTTCAAGTGAATGTTCTAAAGATACCTGAAACTCATTATACCCCAAAATGAGCTCATCATCTTCCACCCTCCACAAATGTCCTTACCCCATTCTTTGATGACCAGTAATAGCTACACAGCAGCACCTAGGCCCTCTTGGTTCACATTCTTGAATAAAGTTTCTGATTCTTCACCTCCACTTTGACTCCCACATCCAAACCACATGAAAGTGTGTAGATCTTTCTCTGGAATGCTTCTTAGATCCTTTCTTTCCATTTTTACAGTTAGCACTCTACAGCAAATCCTAGTCATTTTACACCTGGATTAGTAAGTGGAAAAAAAAGTTTTCTAACCATCTTCCTTCCCTCAAACATCATTTTTATTATATCATACAAATGGCCATGATCCATTGTCCCTAATTCCCTACTGCAGGGGTAGGAAACCTTTTTTTCACTAGAGAGCCAAAAGTAATTACAAAAAAAGTTCCCTTCAGGCCAGCAGCCTATGTAATTATATGCACAATAATAAAAATCAAAATTCCAGTTTCTATTTGTCTAGATATGTATGCAAAGTTTATACTAACATGCCATAAACTGTTATCAAGGGTTACTAAAAGGAAGGTTTCCCATCCCTACCCTACTGAATAAAATTTAAATGCTCCACCTTGGCGAAGAGTCTAGAAGGGCCCTCTATTCAATCACCCCTTAATTCCTCCCCACAATTTCAACAACTTCATTTTTCCATTATTCTCCTACAAAGATACTTCCTTCTTCCCAAGTTAATCTTGTTATCCCCTACCCATAAAACTCGTCTGTTTTCATCTCTGTTCTGTACATGGCTTCCTTTTTTCCTGGAATGCCCTCCCCACTTTTATCAACCAATGTCCTTCATCTCCACATAATCTTTTTCAAAACTTATTCTCCTTGAAGAAGCTTGCTATGTTTAATACTACCTAGCTTCCATTTTCCTTAGTATTCTTCCAACCCTGTACTCATTTCCATTAACTGATACAACTAATACATCTGAAGAACACTTTTATAATCTTTCTCCCGTGTATCTTGTCTTCCTGACTAACCTGGAAGCTCTGAGGATGGGGCTGCTAGATCTTCTATTCCTTTTGTAACACCTTCCAGTGCAAAACATGCAGTGTCCAGGGGTGGGGAACCTGCAGCCTAGAAGGCCAAATGTGGCCCCAAGGACACAAGTTCCCCACCCCTGGGTAGGCACTAATACTCTGACTGAGCCCAATTAGCTACACTGACAACTTAACTAAGAACATCAAAGTCTTCAGTTCTAATCCATATTATAACACCAACTCTGAAACTGTGAAGACTTTTCAGCTTTCAGAAGCTTTTACAGGACCCACACAGGTTTCTCCAGAGTAGAGCCATTGCTTGGCATCTCAGCTTTCCTATCAAAGAAAACTCAGAAGCACGTGGCAATATTTATTCTCTCATATGTTGAATTCTCTGTATTTAGGTGGGGCCAGGGACCAGAGAAAAGATTCCCCGGTTGGATCTGCTTCCAAAGTTGAATATTACATTCAAGCTTCAGATAAAGTACACCCCCCAGATTCTGCAAGAGGCTGGATAAATCCAACAGGAGATAAATCTATATCACACTGGCTCTTTTGTTCACTCACCAATTTTCACCTGTCAGTGGGCTGACTGTTTCTCTAGTGTGCAGATAAGCATAGGAAGTAGAGAATAGTCTCCTTCAGCATTTATTTCAAAACCATTTAAAATCCCACTTGGGCTGACCTATGCAATGCTACAAAATAGCTATTGTCACTGACTTACCAGGGAAGCAACATGTGGACAGTATATTCCTTCTCACCCTGAAAAGATGATATTATAGGGGCCCACTATTCCCATCTTTAAATTCCATTTCAGAACTAATCCCACAAGCACCACTAGAGTTCCCCCAGCAGTCAGTCACCATTAACACCTAATACCACTAGCTATCAGGACAGGTCACAAGCTCCAGGATTTCAGAAGCTGTTTGGATAATCATGAGACTCCCAAAATAAATATGGGGTTCCTAGTCAAATTTTTTAAAAAGTCTTAAGCACTGCCTGAGCTAAAAGGCTGCTTTTCATCCTCAAACCAGCTGGTGGACCCTAATCTTTTGTAATACAATCACATAAAAGCAGCTACTATTCTTTTAGACACTAAAGACCTCTCCTAGAATCCCTGCTTACTTAGAACATGGCCTCACCCTTTCTGGTCAAAGGTACAAAACTTTACTAAAGTCTTTCCATCATTACACAGCTCTAGCTTAGGGAAAGCTACAATAAGATTCCTGTTTTGAAATGTAGGTTTCCAAGATCTGTATTAAATTCTCCTCCCTGAAGCAGAAAGCTTCAGTTTGCACAGAGCTTCCTAACTTCTAGGGCAAAAATGAAACCAGCATCACACTACTTCCTGACAAACGTCCCTTTATAAAGTCCTCCAAATTCCACCATTATCAGCCATCACATACAGGGTAGGGACACATTTATAGATGTTGATCATTTCCAAGCTACCTACCACAGATCTACACCAGCATTTCTGAGGATAACCCAACATTCACAAAAATCCAATCTAAACAAGTAAGCAAACAAGATCATAGGACCATACAGCTAGAGGAGACCTCAGAGGCCACTAGTCCAAGCCCTTCAATTTACAGATATGGATACTGAGGCTTAAGGAAGGTTAAGTGATTTAGTCAAAGGTCCTACAAAGTAGAGTCAGTGAGGATCAAATCTATATTTCTACTGACTACAGCAAACTGCACTGAAGGGCCACAAATCCCAAAACTACAGCAGCATGGAAACTTGGGGTCAGTTTCAATCCAGGGCAGTTTCTTTGCTAGAATACACAGAAAGGCTGTTTACCCACCGACTAAGTCCAAGTAAGGTTCTCCTGAGGCACAGGGATCTGAACAGAGCTCTCTTAAAACTCTACCACACTGGATAGTAGAGCACTAAATCACTGGCTGCCAGGTTTGCTCACCCAATGAAGAGATGCAGGCAAAGCAATAAAATGTAGCTGTCTCAAAACGCCTCTCCCTGTGGCAGTCCTCTACCTCACAGAGCTGTTGTGTTTACAGGCCTAATAAGACACAAAAACCTCATCTGATCCTGTGCAACTGAAGCTGTGGTTTCCCTCGGGGACCAAACTTCATTCGACTTTGGCATTCCCAGAATCGTGGAGTCCAGCAAATGTGTCCAGCACATGAACCAGAACTCAAAACAAAAGGAAAACAGAGGGAAGAACTGGAAAGGACTAACTTGAAGGCTTAACTCCTAGGATCCTTTTGCAGTCAGAGATGTTGCCCATTCAGGAACTGCCCTCCTCCAAGCTTTGAAGTGAAGTAATTACTACACTTTGCTGGTAGGTAGCAAGGGGCTACATCCAGTTTCTGATAGGCATCAACCCTATTATGCCAGCCCAGGCCAGGCAGACCCCTGAATATTTTCCTTTTGTTCAGAACTAATAAAGCTGACCAGTTTTGTTCATGCTTTACCATAAATAAATTTGCCTTGAGCTCTGAGGATGTTACCAAGAAGAGCACCTGAAATACAAGCCAAACCCCCAGGCTAAATGTTTTCATAATCCTCTTCCTGCTGCTACGAATTCTCACCTGCTCATCAGCAGCCCTCAGGGAGGACTCAGCATTAGTCACAGCTCAGTTTCTAAAAAGGCACACAAGCTACCACTATGCCCTCCCAGGAAGGGAAACTGAGTCACAACAGGACAAGTAGCTTACCCAAGCAGAGTCAATCTGTAGCGAGGCTCTGACTGGAAATCAGGGAGTTTACTCCCACTTATCTGTTCTGACCCTGTCTCACAGCCTCATCCCCCCCCCCCGCCCCCCCATGCTCTTCTTCCTTGCTCCAGAAACTGAACCAAACCTCACCTTGGTGCTGATGTCCTCCCTCCGGCCACCAGCCTTGCTCCTGCGCAGTTTTATGGATGGGGACCTGAGCAGGTTCTTGATCCGGCTGGTTATGGTGGAGCCTTCCACAGACATCATGGTGAGGGATCCCCAAAAGGCGCAGGGGCTCAGGCGGATCCCCGGCCTCGGCACGAGCTCCTCATTCCGTGGGGTCTTCCGATCCGCCCCAGCACCGACCTAGATGGGCGGGGGTCATTACATCAGCCCGGGCCGGCCTGGCTCTGCGGTTCTTACTACGCTACACCCCCGGCCCCCGTGGGCTGCTAACACTGCCAGGAACGAAGATGGGGAGGGGAAGGGGAGAAGCCCCTACACTGCGAGTGGGGGGGAACAAGACGTCAGGCCCACCCATCCATCCGTGCGACAGGGAAGGGAGCGGGTGACACCGGCCCGGCGGGAGCCCGGGGTGATTCCCTCTAATGTTCCCATGGCAACGCGCTGTAGGGGGTGGGGCGAGGGGGGCGCGGAGCTGAGGGGTGGGGGCGGCGGAGCCGGACGCCACAGCCCGGAGATCCCGGTCCCAGCTCTGGCCGCTCTCACCTCGGTCTTCAGTTTCCACACCGCCCACCCCCCCCCGACCCGGTCCTGCCCCTTCTCCGCCCCCTCTCCCCAGGCTTCTCCAGAATCCCCGGCCTCCAGTCAGCGGCCCCCACACACACCCCCACTCCAGGGCCCCGCCTCACCAGCCCCAAGAGCCGGAGACCGTCCCGTTCGTAGGTCCCTCCGGCATCGCGCTCACAACTCCAGCTTCGCCGCAACTGCGGCTACAGGCAGCTATGGCGGCAGGGACGGCTCAAAACGCGAACGGCGGCCGCGGCCGCGACTCCTTCCCCGGGGGAGGGGGCTGGCCGCCGGGACGGGGCGGGGCCACCAGGGAGGGGAGGAGCCAGCGTGGGGGCGGGGCCACATGGGAGAGGCGCGGTCTTCTCCTGGCGGGAAGGAGGAGGAGTTGAGGAGGCGGAGTTTGAGAAGAAACCAGGCTTGAAAGGGCAGAGCAGGAGAGAGACTGGACCCTGGGAGCGATGTGAATAAACCGTTCCTGGCGAGTCTTATATCAGAGAATTTAAGAGTGGGAAAGGACCTTAAAAGTCCATCTGGGCATATTCTCTTATTTTATAAGGAGAGAAACGGAGGCCTAGAAAGTAGATAAGTCTGGGATTTGAACAATAAACGGAAAGATACACTATCTACGCCCTGCTGGGCACTGAGGTCACAGTTCGCTCACACGTAGGATGCACCTTGAAAGCAAACCCCTCCTTTCTTCATCCCACCACCCGCGAAGAATGCAGCGCGTGGAGGGGCAGAACTGATCCCTAGGCGCGGAATAAGCTGAAACTGGCAGTCCAGTTGTCAAAGGGAGGGGTCGTAGGGTCCTTGACTTCTGGGTTGAGGGGGAGGGGAGCTGGAAGGAGACTTGCTATCAATGTAGTAAGGTCAGTCTTAGTGGTAACGGAGGAATTTTGCACCCCACGTGTCCGGGCTGCAGCCTTGTCCTTGAGATTTAAAAGAGCTGTTTCAGAGTCTCTTGTTCAATTTGGGACTCCAGACTGAAGCAGTTTTCGAGCCAGTAGTACATGACGTCATAAGACGACGTGGAATGAAACTCTTGTCCTCCTCGAGTCGCTTACTACCGAAAGCTGGAGGTTAAAGTGCTTGGAACAAACCCAGGAAGGCCCACAGCTTGCCTCCTCCGCTTTGATAGTTCCTCAGCCAATCAGGATCCGGTTGATTTGTTGTTATTTGCATAGAGCCTGAGGAGAGGCCAAAATGAGGGACTACAGAAACTCTTCGTCATCATTGGCTCTTTGGCTGTGAGATTTAATTGGCTTACCCGCCTGGATGAGTCTAGGAGTCCCTGTCCCTAGGGCTGGGGGGCGGGGCGCGGAGTGGAGACTGGCAAAAAATTTATTAAGCCCTGCTAGGCTTCTTTTATTTCTCTTTCTCTTAAACAAGATTGACTCTAGGCAAAATTAAGCACTATTTGCTTTCATACCAGTTTTAGAGGTTCCCAAAGTGGGCCATACTACAACCTGAGGGGTGGGGGGAGCTGGACTGATGGGTTGCAATTGGGGGTATTTAATAAAAATAAGGGGGCTGTGAAAGCATAAAGAAGAGGAAATTTTAAAAAAGCTTTCGCACATGTTTCATCTGTTGTGTAACAGAATTAAAGTCATAGTGATTACACCATTTTTCAAATAAACACATAAAATACAAGCTAGAAGGGATCAGTGGGCAAGTGCCCCTACAGGTCTTAACAAGTAAGTGTTGTCAGGCAAGCTGGCATGTATGGGCAGGAATATGTGCATGTAATGACTTGTTTATAATAAGATAGGATAAGGTTGCATGATGTAATTGCATCATCAAAATTTCAATGCAGAGAGAAAAACCCACAAATTTACAACTAATTATTAAATTTAAGATATGCCATTTTAAAAAATGTATGATTTTTTGAAAAAATGCAAATTTTTAAAAAAGTCAAGAGTTAAAGAAAGCAAATTTCTGGGGCTGAGTTTTTTTTTTAAAACGGGGCGGTAGGCCAAATAAGTTTGGGAACCTCTGAGTTAAATCAAGGAATAAACATTTATTAAGCATATTTATATGCCAAATACTAGATTGAAGACAAAAGGAAAAGGGGACGGTAGGGGACCAAATGGATATATAGTGTCATGGAAACAACAAACATGAACTTGGACAGACTTCAAGGGACAGTGGAGGATAGAAAGGCCTAATGTGTTATGGTCCGTGGGGGTCACAAAGAGTCGACATAATTTAACAACAACATGTCAAGTACTAGAGATTTTTTAAAAAAACATATATATACACAAAAGAGAGACAATGGAGAATCTGGTGAGCCTCTGTCATACTGGGGGTGTGATCCCAGGCCAAGTCAACGTCTCCCCTGCTCTCAGACTATAAATTGCAGAGACTCCCTAAAAAAGGTAGCACTTGAAAGAAGCTAGATTCCTAGAAGCTTGAGGTGATGAGGAAAAATCAAAAAGCCTTTATTAAACACTTTGTGCCAAGCACTGAGCTAAGCCCTCAGGGAAACAAATTTTAATGGGAGAGGCAACAAAAATGGGGGAGTGTTGACAAGGGAGGGACTGGGGAGTAAATCCACACACTCTTTCTAGGAGTAATAACGAATTGATTTGTTTTTCATTTCAGAACTGGTAAAGTGAGGCAAGACTGGTATGCTCATGAGATTGCCTGTCCTAAATGTAGTGGGCAATTGAGGCAATCACCAATTAGTAATCACTCTCCAAGGCATGAAAGGGTCAAGTCCTGCAGTGTTTGATTTCTGAGCTGGACTACCCGATGGCTTGAATGTTGGCCTAGGGAGTAAAGTAAATGGAAGGCATTCTAGGAACAGTCTGTAAAGGCACAGAAAGAGACAGAATGGTGTATCTAGGGAATATAAAATATTATTTGGCTGGAGTATAGAGTTTGTAAAGGAGAGGGACAGAAATTGTCTGGAGAGAAAATATGGATGCATAGGAAGCTCACCATATTTTAAAAGGATATGTTCAGAAGATGGAAACAGGAAGGTAACATTAAATATAAGATTATGGTGTGGTCCTGTAAAGACCTGGTAGTAGTGTTCAATCTCAGAATGAGCTGAGGCAGGTTAGAAAAAATAAAGATAACAAAAAGATGAGTTTTTAATTTTTCTATTTTTTAATAGCTATGCTGAAGAAAGGACAATCATACAGTGGGTAGGACTTCTGGTTGGGGTGGATGGGGCTACTCAATACTTCATTTGCTTGTTTTCCCTGCCAAGGAGAATGACCTTTGTGTTGGTCATAACAAAACAAAAATAACAGGAAGTTGATAGGCATGGGGAGAGAGTAAAAGGCTACCTAGTTGTCTTTGATGAATTCAGGTCACCTGGAATATATGAACTACATACTCAGGTACTTAAAGAACTGGTGGATGTGATTTCTGAAAGATCATGGAAAATAGGAGAAGGTACCATGGCCCTAGAGAAAGACAAACGCCTTGATTAAAGAAAAACAAAAAAAGTTAAAAGACTAGGGTCTGAATATGTGCCAGTGACCTTGACTTCAGTTCCTGGGAAAAATCTAAAACAAAGAGATGGTTAATGAAAACCCAGAAAAGGAAGCAGTGATTACAAAGAGCTCATGTAGCTTTGTTAAGGTAATGCCAGATTAAATTTTTCCTTTTTTTAATGCTGTTATTAAACTTAGGGGCGGCCAGGTGGCGCAGTGCATAGGGAAGACTCATTTCCTGAGTACAAATCACCCCAGACACTTACTAGCAGTGTAGTGTGATCCCCGGCAAGCCATTTAATACTGTTTGCTTCAGTTTCTCATCTGTAAAATGAGCCGGTGAAGAAAATGGCAAACCACTCCAGTGTCTCTGCCAAAAAAAAAAAGAAAACAACCCCAAAAATAAATGGGCTCATGAAGATGGACGTGAATGTGTTTGTGTGTGTCCCCAAGTGTACAGAGAGATTTCATACCAACTCTTTATCCAAGTATTTGATTAAAAAAAATCTCATTATTTCTTGGGGAGAAAATGGGAAAATGTGGACTAAACAATAAAACAATTAGATGGATTCAGAACTGGATAAATGGCTGGATTCAAAAGTAGTCAATAATAGTTAAATATCAATTTGGTAGAAAGTCTTTAGCACAGTGCCGTTTAACATTCTTATCAATGACTTGAATAAAGGTAGGAATGGAATGGTTGTTAAATTTGCAGATGACACAAAGTTGGGCTTGATAAACTGGTGGATGGTGATATCCAGAAGATCTCGACAGGCTAGAGCACTAAGCTGAATGTGGTAAGTGTACAGCCTTAGGAGCAGATTCTAAGGTAAAAGCTACCGTAAGCCAGACTTGTTTCCCAGTGGGGGAAGCTTCATTGTCACGGAAACAGAACCAGGCAGCGTCAGGAGACTGGTTGGTTGGTTAGATGTGCAGAGAGGGGTTTTTATGGGTAGAAGATCAGGAAGTGGGAGACTTGAAGCCTCCCGGGGAGGGATGAGATGAGATGAGGATGGGATCTGGGCCTGCGTGATGGTGTGATAGCAGCAACTGCATGCCGGGAGGGCTTTGATTTTACATAAATATTAGTGGATATTAATGGGGGCTTTGATGTCACATAGGTTACTATTGAACAGTGAGAAGTCTCACAGACCACAAGGTCTTTGGTGATAGGGTGGGCCACAAATGGAGTGGGTTTTCTGCCCAGGATGTGGGGAAAAATATAGAGCCTCCTTGCTCTGAGGAAAGGGACCCTGCTGCTCCTACTCTACTCCCCACTTCTTGTGTTATGGGAAATAGGACAAAGGCCCAAGTCATCATTGGCTGCTTCAAGCTGATAAGGGGCTAAGGTGGGGGTGTCAAGGCAGGGTTACTGCACATGAGCAGCATGGAAGGAGGCAGTGGAGACATCAAGGGAAGTGGGATAAGGAGCAGCTGTGAGGATGCCTGGCAAGAAAGAGGAGAGACAGCTAAGGAGGGGTGGCCCAAAGAAGAGGACCAAAATTAGTTCAAAGAGTAAGAGAGAAATGAGCCAGGTTTACCCGGGGGGGACAGGAAGGAACTGGAGGAAGCAGAATCTTGCTCTCATCAATGCTGGTCATTCTCTTTGGCTTTTTCAGTGTTTTGGATTTTGCCTGACTTATTCACATAGAAGCAGCACTCTTCCCCAAGGAACTCACAGAATCCCCCTTGGGCTGCTGTGAGAGCACCCAAGGTGCATCGGTCTGGGAGCACGACCTCAGAGAGGTCCTCATGGTGGGTTTCAAGTGCCTCAAGGGAGGCAATGAGATGTTGGTTTAGTTCAGAGATTCTTTTGGATAAAATGTCATAAGGACACTAGG